TTACACTTCTAGCCTCCTGGACTGTGAGAGAATAAGTTTCTGTTTGTCAAAGCCATTCACTTGTGGTATTTCTGTTATAGCAGCACTAGATAACTAAGACAGAGGTTTAGGGTCATGGTTTCATGAGATATCCCGGTTAACTGGCCTAATATCATATGCAGTGCTTCTATTCTACCTCCTAGTTCATTGCATAGTTAGTACCTGGGGTCTTAAAAGCTTACAAGCAACCATCCAAGGTACAACAATTGGTCTCTATTTGCCTGGAGCAACAGAGGAAGAAGGAGAGGCAGGAATAGGAGGAAGGAATGGAATGTGAGGCTAATTCCCTCCATGAACAACTGCCTTCTTTGCCATGAGACAAGAAGAACTGGATGGTGCCCGGCTACCATTACTGAACATTTTGATCAAAGATTCTATAGAGGAGTCTGATCAAAAGAGGAGAAATGAAGAATAGAAGTTCAAATTCTCATGGAATCCAGATTTTCTGGAGCCATAAAGGCTGGATAAACTCCTGAAACTATTGCCCTGAGATAATCTTTAAACCTAAACCAAAAATATCCCTTAAAGTCTTCTTAAAACAAGACAATAGTTTAGCTTAACTAGTAAAGAATGTCTGTCTTAAGCATTGTGCTGCTTTAAGAGCTATCTATATGGAATCAAATTGACAACAGCAACTCGAAAGATTAGATAGGAAACTTAGGGGGCAGTGAGTTTACATTAATGGGGGAGGAACAACTCAGAAAAAGAGGGTGAGAATGGTTGCACAACTTGAACTGTACATGTAGATACTGTTGATTAGTGTATGTCCTGGTGTATATATTCTCAACAACAACAATGTAAATAAAATAAATTCCATATTAATACATAAAAAAAGTTCACTTCTCAAAGACTCTTACTAAAAGAATCTACTGAAGGATTTATTTCATCAGGAAAGAAATTAAACCACGGAGGAAGGAGTGGGATGCAAAAAAGAAACAATGAACAAAAAATTGAGAGAAGACTCTTGCCTAAGGGCACATTGAATTTAAAGAGTCAGTACTTGAAGCTAAGTTGTCTGATACCTTAGCCCATACTCTTTTACATTACATAAATCTCATGAGGAATATTTCAAAATCACATGATGAAATGCACAGTAAAGTATCTGAAATCTTCAAATTTTAATATTCAGTCACTATTCATTGATCATCTATAATGAAGTTCTAAGAAGGTAGTAGAGGATCTAAACTTATGAATTAGGCCTGTTTTTTCTAAAGTTACAGGGTGATGACAGTTGTCTTCTTTTGAAGAATTCATTTATATCCAACATTTCTTTTGTATTTCTTCCTTGTGAGGCCCTATGATAGGTGTTCTGGGGTAAGTGGTGTGAGAACAGTCAAATAAAAAATGTTTCAAAAAATAAGGTAGAAAGTGTTACGTGCCTGTGTGAATTACACACGTCTGTCTATCTGCATTGCACATACAGACAGGCTGTGCCTCAAACTTTCAGGCAGCCATAAGACTGCTAGAAATGAGGCACATACACCTACTGGTATCAAACATTCTGTGGGTGTTACATTCATCTGTGATCGAGCCAGACACACGACACTTACACAGCAAAGTGAAAGCCATCATTATTATTTATGGAAAGCAAACAGTAAACAATAACAACAGATTCTCAAAAGGAGAACCGCTTACCCTTCCCCAAATTACCCATGTCTATCTTATGTTGCTGGGCAGGCGCACCATGGTTCAGGTCAGATGTCAGATGCTATTTATCTTCATGTCATCACTGCCTCTGGCTACCACCTTGCTGCTTGGGGGGTCCTGCATGGCTCCTGAGGCCTCTGCTAGCCTTTGCTACTGGCTGCTGCCATGCTACCCAGGCCTGCAGGGCTCTCTTGCCTTCATGCTACCTGGGCCCCTGCTGCCCAGGCCGGGGGCGGAGGCGGGGAGGCGTGCATCCCCTGCATGTGGCACCCTCCACTCAGGCCTCTCTTCCCTGCAGGAGCAAGTGTTACAGCTCTTTTAGCTCCGCTGGCAAAGCTCCTGCCCAGAGGCGCCCAGCTCCGCCCTGCTATAGGAAGACAAGATCCTCTGAGGCAACCCCTGCATGGGGCACACACAGACATCTGCCCTGCACAGGCAAGTGTTACAGCTCTTTTAGCTCTGTCTGCAAGCCTCTTGCCTGAAAGCACTCAGCTCTTGCTCTGTGGGCCTGCAAGCACACCACAGCCACCTCGTTCAGTGGGCCGGCAAGCCCACAGCCACTGTCTCTCGCCATCTCATGCTGTTTAAGTGAAGTGAAGGGACCCAAAGGTCATCGGTCCAAAGGACATGCTCTGCTCAAGACTCTTCTTCTTGATGGTAGTGAGGTCCCCCTGAACCTCTATGTGATTGGCCCTTATGTAAGGAAACCCCTTGTCAATTTCCAGGCATGGTCCTCTTACCAGTACCACAAACTGACCAATCCTCCTGGTAGACCATAGTCACTCAGTTTGCATAGTCTTTGTCAATCATTTTGTGGGAGTTACAAGACCATGGCTAGAAAGACTATATAAAAGTGATTCATTGCACTGCAGTGACCTGAGAGAGGAACAGATATAGTCTTGAGGGGAGTTTAGAGGAGAGATTATCTTTGGTCTATGTGATAGGTGAGGTAAGGGATCAAACAAGACATAATGGAAGAGGTGGCTGGTTTGCTGGACCTTGAAGGACAAACAGGATAATACTAACTACTGCAACTATCTATTATCTACTGTGTGCATGGTGCTGTCTTTGGAGCTTTCATCCTGATCCCATTTTCTGCACAATAACCCTCTTAGGTCAATACTGTTATTCCTAAGTTAAATATGAGAAGACAGAAGCTCATATAGGATAACTGAATTTGCTCAGAGCCACACAGCTAATAAACGGAGCCAGACAGACCTAAGCTCAAGGTAGACCAAGACCTGAATCCAGATCCAGAATTTTTCTGGTTCCAAATTCCCTGACCTTCCCTCTCCCTGTTTTTAGGGTAGGTAAACCATCTATTTCTTCCATTTAAAAAAGTCCAAATACTATTCATCCTTCCAGTTCAAGCGTCAGGTCTTTTTAGAGCAGAAATTCTCAAAATGTGGCCCACTGATGCCTTGCATTAGGTTATCAGAGGAGTTTGCAAAAGTGCATATTTCCAGGCCCCACTCTCAAAGATTCTAAGTAGGTCTGGGATGCCACCATTTGTCATTTTGTAGTACCATGGTGGCTTACATGTTGCTATGATGCTGGAAGTTATGCCACCAGTATTTCAAGTACCAGCAGGGTCACTCATGGTGGACAGGCCTAAGTGGAGCTTCCAGACTAAGACAGACTAGGAAGAAAGGCCTGGCAATTTACTTCTGAAAATTAGCCAATGAAAACCTTATGGTTCACAACAGAATACCATCTGATATAGTAGAAGATGAGCCCCCTAGGTGAAAGGCACTATACAACGGCTGCAACAACTGACTCAAAAATACCAACGATCATGAATATGGCATGGCACAGGGCCAAGCAGTGTTTCCTTCTGTTATACATAAGGTTGCCATGAGTCAAAGCCGACCCCATGGCAACTAACAAGTTTAGGAAGAGACCCAGAGAACATGTATTTTTTTTTTAATTTCTTTCTTTTTTTTTTTTTTTAATTGTACTTCAGGTGAAGGCTTACAGAACAAATAGTTTCTCATGAAACAGTTGTACACATACTGTTTTATGACATTTGTTAACAACCCCACAACATGTCAACCCTCTAACTTCTCAACCCTTTTTTTTGGTGAAAATACACATAGCCAAAGATACACCATTTCAAAAATTTCTACATGCACAGTTCAGTGACATTGACT